ACAAAAGAGCTTATCGCTAGCCTTTACAAACTGATTTTTCTTACATGCCTTATTAGACTTTGAGAAAAAAGTAAAAAGTGAATATATTTATATGTATGTGCAAACATTAGAAAGTTATATAACATAATAAGAACCATCTGTTGCAGGTGATCGATTTCAGAAACACATCAACCCCTCTAAGAGTAGCTGGAAACATTTTTTTCAAGAAGATCGAGAAGCGAACAAGCTACGCTTATTTGCAGCCTATAAAAAGCAAGTTAGGAACACTGGCAAAAATCAACCAGTCCGACTAAAACATACCAATTAAAACACATCCACCTAACATCAAATCGTACACCTTTTGCGGTATAAGCCTCGCATTTTTTCCAAACTTTCTCGACTTACTAGTTCTCGGCACATCAGAAAAACACTTCTAAAGATACAGTGGAGGCAAGTCAAACTAGCCAAATTGCAAGAAAAAAGAAGACGAGTCTCAGGGAGGAATCAATAGCGACGTGCCTTTATTTTTTTTCAACTTAAAACAAACTTTTTCGAATTTGGCAGTCATCCACTGCTACTTGATTCCCGTGAACAAATTATTCTCTAAGAAAAAACGGCCTGCGGTGACCAGCAGTTCCAACGAATCCTGAAGATAAAAAGTAGCGAAAAATGCAATTGTAACTACTTGTTAATTGCTACTAAAAGGCTTGACCGCTTCCCATGGGCAGGCACGTGGGCCACCAAACACCCCCAAACACCCTTCCGGCGAACATCTCAAACACACTGGTACGAAGAGCACTTCAATTTCGCCAAACAGCTAAAAATCCCGCCAACACCGGATGTATTTGCTGGAACGATTCCAACTTTCTGTTCTTGAAGGTTGATACGGGATATGACTTAGTGATCGGTTTAGTATGTCCAGTTGGTCCACCCTGGAAAGATTTTACAATTATTAAAACGCTATAAGGACCGCGTGTTTGGCCAGACCTAGGTGGTTTATTTTGAGCTTTGTATCTCAGCTCAATAAAAAACCTTACTCGCTCATGTAAGGGTTATCAGTAATGTGGATAGCAGATGTAAGATCTTGCAAGTGTCCGAGCTGCTAGGAAAGACTCAAATGAATTCTTTCAAACAGATGGCCGCACAACGACAAGCAACTTAGGTAGGTAAGGGTAAATAGCGCGGAGAATGAATGAAAGGAGAAACTTGTTGTTGGTCAAAATGCAATGAGTGCGTTCAAGTTGTCAGATCCTGTGAAAGTAGTACAATACAGAATACATAAATGATTTATTTGGGAAAGCGGAAGGCAAGGAATCATTAACCGGTGATGAACAAACTCGGTACATTTATTTTGTTCTATGAGCAATAAGTAAAAACCTCTAAATAAAGAATTTTTTTAGAAATGACAAACCAGATAACAACTATTAATGTTGGGTAAATACGCAAAGTACCCTTGGTAAAACTTAAAAAATATGCTTCTGAGAAGAAAAATATGTTTTCTAAAATTGGGGTCCAAACACTTAATAACTCGAAAACAGGAAAACGAAGTGAAGAAGCAAAGAGAAAAATATTTGAAAGTAATATATTTTGAAAGATGAGTAACGTGCGTGTCACCGTCTTCGTAACGTAATCCGAGAGTTGTAATTCTAATTACAATTGTTTACAGCAGCCTGTTATCTTAGCGGTGTGGCCCAGTAATCAGAGAGTATCACTAAACCCAGTTTTGACTCAATTATGGAAAGAGCAATTCTATCCGGTCCCGCATCCTGTTTTCTTGTTATCAAGCTTTTAGCCTGGCTAAGTTTTGGTTGACCTAGGAGTACAGTGAGATAAGTTGGCCCTCCGCGCCATACGCATTGCATGGTCGTTGCAACCTCAGGGGGCTGCGAACAATCTGCGGAAGTAAAAAAAATATTGAAAAACAGAGAGGAAAGAAAGCGGGATATAACGCTTTATTAAAGGAAGTGCAGTGCTCACCTAGAAGTCTTAATATAGCGCTTAAATGCTTATTCATAATTGTTTAAAAACTCACACAAAAAAGTCATTAGTGTCGACGATGTTGCATAACAAGTTTGGTTGAAGCAGGCCGTAGGTCGTGAACGTGGAACCTGAGG